CATCTGGCTTCTTTTCTTCTGGTTCTATTGACTTTTCAGTTTGAATAGAAGGTTTTATATGGGCTTCGTGGACTTCACCCTTGCCATACACCTTAATGTTGTCGCTTTCTGCATTCGCTAATGGAACCTTTCTTTTTCTTACGTATATTTTACCATCTTTACTCTGACTTACGTAATAGAAAGGATGTTGTATTCCTCTTGCGTCATTTAATATAATAGACTCTCGCTCTGATTTTGACAAGCTCATTTTACATTGGTTAAAGTTTTAATTTTGTTTTTTATCTGCAGTCAAATGACTCAGACAAGCCATACGGACAAGACCCAAGGGGTCATAGATGTTGAAGCATTGAAGAAAGAAATTCGCGAGCAAATTTTATCCGAACTGAAGGAACAAAAACAAGAACAAAAGCCAGAGAGACCAAAGAGAAAACTTAGTGAAAAACAACTTGCTGCATTAGCTGCTGGAAGACAAAAGAACCCACGTTTGCTGGCGAAGAAAGCTAGAGAAGAAGCAAAAGCAAAGGAAGAACAAAAAGCTAAAGAAGCTGAAGCAAAGAAAGAGTAAATGGTTTATTTTTATCCGAATTAAATGTATAGACAAATACCTTTAACTGTTGCGTTCAGTAGTGAAAACCCTGACGTCAAAATAAAGGGGAACAGAGTAACGTTTAAGTTTCCAACAGACTGGATTGTGAACATAAATGAAGAGAAGTACATTGGCATAAACATCTATGTATATAACACGTGCTTTCAGAAAGGTTGACTTTATACTTCAAGTCGAGATAGAAAAATGACGAACAGTCTTTAAGCGCCCAAAACATTCACATATACAAATACTTTAAAGACGATACAACATTGTTGCAATGTATGATTTCATTTAATGAGATGTTCGAGAAAAAGTTCAACATTGAAGTACAAACTTTACAGCCTTTACGTGAGTTTCTTGCACAACTGAAAGAAGAAGGTAGTCAGCCACAACTTATAGACTTTCATTATGAATTTAATGAAAATGAAGATGGAACTCATGACTGTCAGTTTGTTATATATTCACCATTCAATGAAGTAGCTAAAGAGAAAGAAAATCCATTACGTATAAGGTTTCAAATCTCTGAACCCAATGAAGACTTCAAGAATGTTTTCAATTATGATGCAATGCTTCCGAGGAAAAATGAATTTTCAAAGATTGTAACACCTGGCATTTGGGATAGAAAGCAAGCTATATTATATTCAAACTTAAGTAAGGGAGTTGAAAATGAGTTCATTGGTCATACAAGAACTTCACCATTACCAAATCCTAAATACTATAAATTAACTGGCTTCAATCGTGAGTTTTGGATAGACATGTTCTCCACTCATGACCATAACTGCCCAGTGTTCTTACCTCCAGACCATAAGGACTGTCTCTACATTGAAGCACAACTCTTAAACTCTACCATCGCAGTATTGTAAAATCTACGCTAGTTTTATTTTTATCACGAATGACCTCATTGCTGACAAAAATAAATGACCTCATTCATGACCTCATTCATGACCTCATTGCTACCTCATTGCTGACAAAAATAAATGACCTCAGAACTTCAACTTACGAATAAAGCTTGTTTTAGTCGTTATTGAGAAGTTAAACTTTTCAGCAAAGCAAGGTTGACATGACTTACATAAGTCAAATCCAATCTCTTGACCGTCATAAAGTGCTTTATATAACTTCATAACACTGAACTCAGAGTCTTTGTCAAATTTTCCTTGCGGAATCATTAAACCTTTATCTTCATCATAGAAACACTGAACAGAGTCAGGAAACATTTCATTAGCGGTTAAAGCAATAACATCTTGCTTCACGCCTTTCATTCTGCAGTGAAATGCAACTTCATTTAAATCATTCGTGAGTAAGTCTATGTAAGTCTTCTTTCCACAAAATATTGACTTGTATGCTAAACTTTGTTTATCTTTTGTGATTTCTGCAAAGTCGCTATGAAATTGACCAAGGTTTTTACCAATGAGAACTCTTCCATAACGTTTCTCAAACTCTTCAGCTAAACGAGGGATATCTTCATTGTAGAGATGCATACTGTCCGTATCGCTATAAAAGATGTCCATTCCTAAGTCCTCAGCAGTACAGAATACTTCACACATTATTCTCTTCGACATAGACAGAATGTTAACACCAAGTGGACAGAAGTTAAAGTGTCTGCAAATGCTTTTCGTTAGCTTGAAAATAGTTTTATCTGAACCATCCAAACCTTCGAACTTCACTATATGGTTGTAGTTTCTGATGGCATATCTTATAGCATCTTTGTCATCTACTATGGTTATTTTTGACTCAATAGGAGATAGAATAGTTTTGCCATAAATACTGTTCAGAATGAGCTTTATATTTTCTTGCAAAGGATTTCCTTCTTTCTTATACTTTAACCTTAACTCAAACAACTTCTTTACTTCATCTCTTATTCTAATATCTCTGTTTCCATCGTAATAGTATCCTTGCAACACTTCACATTTGACACCTTGATTATTTTATGAGGTCTTGTAATGTTATATGGTCAACATACATTAAACAGCAAGTGTTTGAACTTCTGGGAACGTTAAGTTCTGGATTTAGTTCAGGGTCACAAACTATTAAAGGAAAGTGTCTATGTATTCCAATCTCTGTTATCTTAATGAGAACAAAGAAGCCAGACATAAACTTTTCACCAATGGGTTCCTTTTGGTCGTCGTTGAATAAATGTCTCATGAGATACTCTGTGCTTAACATCTCATCCTTCAATACTTTTGGAATTCCTTCTAAAGTATAAAGTCTCGCGATAGCTGAGGGATATAATGAAACAGCATCGAAGTCAGCAATGAGTTTCTTTTCGCTCTTTTGTTTCATGTTATCTGACAGCATACATCTTCCACCTTGAATGCATCTCGAAATAAATTCTCTTGGTTTATTTGAGAGGTCATAAAGATTTCCATTCGGGAAGTATACTCTGTTCTCAAACAATTTGTTAGCAATAGAACAAATACTAACGTAGTCATAAACGTTTAAATCAAATTCTTTTAATATATCATTGCGGAACTTAACAAAACCTTCTCTTAAAATTCTTACATCTTGTTTGCAATAAAATGTGCTATACTTTTCTAAGTCGAAGTGGTTTTCATCTATTCTGCAACCTTTGATGGAATCTATGTTTTTCATAAATGTATCTGCATCCTGGATAAACTTACATGCTTCAGAAATGACACCAGTTCTGTTGTCATTTGCTAACAAAGTACTGCTGTAGTAGTTATATGGAAATACTTCTTTCGGTCCTGTTTGTAAGTTAAACATAGCAGGAAATAGTTTAAGCTTCTTATTTATAACACTGTAAGAGTCTTTTATAATAATTGCCCGTCCTTTATATAAGCCAGTTATTTGCATTGTTCGTGAACCTTTAATGATGGGAGTTCCTTTCACTTTTGTCATGTGTCTTAAGATGAAGTTTATATCATAACTGAGGTTATGGAAATATATTAAACTCTTGTCAGGAAGTCGTTCCAAAAATTCTGTTGCACAGTTCTGACCCCAAATGCTTTCATTCACTGAACCATCTTCACTGTCATAACAGATGTTAAAAGCTTTATGAAAGCCATCCGTACTACACTCAAAGTCAGCAAAGAAAACATGCTCAGGAATGAACTTACATTTAGCTTTATTTACTTCTTTTGACTCTGCTTTCTTCTTCAGTTGTACACAATACTTTGGAGCATACGTCAAATCTTTAAATGGTGCAAGGTTCTGTTTATATAAGTCAGTCGTATATGTGAAAAGTTCTCCATAAGAAATAGGTTCGAAATATTTGCACTCCCACAATGTTTTCATAACATCCCATAGCGGTGTAGTTCTATCCATGCGAACTACATATTTGTTCTCTCTCTTTGTATAAATCTTCATCTGTTTCTCAATGTTCATTCCACCACACTCCTTCAAGATTTCTATATAGTTGCGAATGAAATATGTTGTCATTGGAAGTCTTTCATTTAGCATGTAGTGGTCTTCAACAAGAAGTAAGTCAATAGTTCGAACAGTTTCACATTCTTTTGGTATGTATCTCTTTATTTCATTATATCTTGAGTCATTGAAGTAACCAATGGTAACATTAAATGCTATACCTGTTGCGTCAGAAATTTCTTGTACTTTACTTTGAGGAAAGTCTCTAACACGAATGACTTCTCTCATGTGGTCAATAGTTTCTTCATTTACTCCAGCCTGAATGCAAGCATAAACGAAGCAGTTATCTTCTGTCATAAGTGTTGCAGTTCTTTTGTTCAGTTCATTGAAGATTTGGTAGCGTTCAAGATTTATAGGTAATGTGCAAAGATACTTCCAGAACTGACCGCTTCTCTTCTTATAAAACTTCTTTTCACCATTATCTTTCCAAAAGCTTTCTATAAGTGCTGGGTTTTCCTGTTTGCTTAAGAGCTTCCAAAATGGCTTTCTGGTCATTTGTCAGTGTGCTTTCATCTCTATATGGTCTCTTTTTTGGTTTGCCTTTCTTTACATCTGACATCGTTAAGCCTTCATATTCTGTTAAATCATACATCTTTATTTCAGTAAGATTCTTTATGTTTGTCAAGAAGAAGTCATAGTGCATTTCAACAATACCTGCAGCATTTGCTTCTATCTCTGATATAAAGTTCTCCTTCAAGAGCTGATGTAGTAATGTTCCAATATTATTGAGGTTTAACGTAGAACATTCATACTTTCCACCAAGTTTATAACATACCATCCATCTTTGTTGGAGTTTATTTTAATCTTCTCTAAGAGTCTCATGAAAACCTTACCGAAATGTTTGTGTAAGTAGTCTCTGTTTGGTTCATCTAAAGCTTCGATGTTAAAGTCAATGAGTCTATTGCCTGTCTTAACATTCCTCTTCCTATTCTCTTCATCTTTCTTTAACCATCTCTCACCTTCTTTTGGTTTGTCGTCAATGGAACGAAGGACATCGTTAGCTTTGCGAACTTGTTCTATAGCGCTCTTAAACATCTCTCTTCTCTGTTGTTTCAGTGTGTCGTCTCTTCTTCTTGTTTCACCAACGTTCGCATTTGTTATGTCAAACATTTCTCTTCTTACTTCATGAGGTACTGAACGTCTATGATATAAGTCAATAGCAACGTCATTTAAAGGAAATGCTCTTGCATGGACTTCGTCCTCGCCGCGTTGCAGCTTTATGAACTCATGAATTCTATCATAACTTATTGCACCATTATAGTCTTTAATGAAGTCAGCGAGTGCTTTTTTGTTTGTTGCGTAATGTTTTGCAACATCTATATTAGCTTCTGTAAGAAGTTGTTTTATTTCCGAGTGTTCTAACTTAGACAACTTCCGATACATCTTTAGTAGGAAATAAAAAAATATTTTTTTGAAAAAATTAGATTAGATTTTTTAAAGTTATTTTTCAAAATAATTTAATATTTTTATTTTAATGAAACACATGCAAGATTGCAAGTTCTTTTCATACAATGCTCTCGCTAATGCCATCAAGAATGAGTTCAGTAATGCTTCAAATGTTAATGTTATCTTTAACAAGAAGTTTGTGAAAGAATCTAAGTTTGGTCAGTATGTCAGACCATTAGCTATCGTCATTGACCGCAAACGTTATACTTCACAAGAGTTAGCAGTAGTTTTGAAACAAAAGAGTTTCTTCGTGAATGTCAAAGATACTCATTATACTGTCATAAAGAACTCTAACGTTGACTTCTTCAGTATTGCTATGAATCTTTCCGAACAGAAAGAATATAAGAAAGGTGAAACAGTTGTGAAATATTATCCTTCATCTCTGAAGACAATAACGAACAAAGATGTCATACAAAAGTTCTTACCAAAGGTTGAAGAAGCTTCTATTGACATTGACGAAGGAAGTGAAATGGTTGAAGAAATTGACCCTGACGTCATTTAAGCAAAAATATATTTTTGAATAACTGAAAGTGTCACCACGTCACCATGTGCTACCAGGTTAATTAACTTCTTTTAAAAATGATGACAACATGACATTTTGACAACAGTCCAGGAAATAAATTTTATCGTTAATGTTTACGTTAATGTTTTTCATTAAATTTTGACAAAGTGCAAATCTTCACTTCGTCAAAAAGTTAATGTTTTTCATTGAAATCGGTAAGTTTTCATTAAATTTTGACAAAGTGCAAATCTTCACTTCGTCAAAAAGTTAATGTTTTTCATTGAAATCGGTAAGTTTTCATTAAATTTTGACAAAGTGCAAATCTTCACTTCGTCAAAAAGTTAATGTTTTTCATTGAAATCGGTAAGTTTTCATTAAATTTTGACAAAGTGCAAATCTTCACTTCGTCAAAAAGTTAATGTTTTTCATTGAAATCGGTAAGTTTTCATTAAATTTTGACAAAGTGCAAATCTTCACTTCGTCAAAAAGTTAATGTTTTTCATTGAAATCGGTAAGTTTTCATTAAATTTTGACAAAGTGCAAATCTTCACTTCGTCAAAAAGTTAATGTTTTTCATTGAAATCGGTAAGTTTTCATTAAATTTTGACAAAGTGCAAATCTTCACTTCGTCAAAAAGTTAATGTTTTTCATTGAAATCGGTAAGTTTTCATTCTTCCTCTTTGAAGTTGTCGAAATATTCTGTTATCTTTTCTTTCAGTAATGTTAAGTCTTCTTTGAATGTAAGTATTGTGCAACCTTTGATGTCATAGTGTGTTTGAGGAAGAGTATTTTTGACAATTTCCTTTATTTGCTCATTCGGTGTCATTGAAATCGGTAAGTTTTCACGATAGAACCAGTTTCTGTCAGATTTATATATCTTAGCTAAGTCATAAAAGCTCTTGTTGTTTCTTCTCACTAAATGCAACATAACCATATCTCTATCTTCTTCTTTCTCCAACTCTTCAGCGTAAATCATATACTTATAGTTCTTTTCCTTTCCTTTTGGTACTGAACGTGGTATTCTTTTCTGTATGCTTTTGTCTTTGGATTCAATGACTTCATCTTTTGCTTGAAGTTTCTTTTCCATCTCTCCACGTTCTGCTTTATATAGTTCATCTAACATCATGAAAATATAACAAGCATAACGAGGTGAAGCCCACATTGCTACAGCGTTTACTAAAAGTCTATGAACATAATAACCTTTCAAACCAGGTGCCAAATTCTTGCGATTTTCGTACGGAATCTCTTCTCTCGGTTTTCCGAGGGAAGCAATCATATGAGGAAATTCTTCTAAAAGTTCTTTTGTCTGTTGGTTTTCAAACCAATGATATGCTTGCTTTGTAGAACGAAGAGCATTCATTATACTTTGCATTTGGTACATGTCATCTTTGACTGAACGAATGAGACGTAACTGTTTGTTATACTGTATGTATTCGTATTCTTCATTTATAGCTTCATGGACTATAACTGTTGTTGTGTTCTCTGATGTTGTCATTACTGTCTTTACATACAAAATAAAAAAATAAATAAAAATAAAATTAGCGTTATTTTCTGACTTTCACAAAAGACCAAAAATAAACGCTTTACATGTTTTTCAGCAACTTCGTCAAATAATTTTATAGCTTTATCTATCTCATCTACTTCAAACGTTTCTTTACCTTTCATGGGAGCACCATACATTTTCTCAAACTTTTCAAGTAGTTCTGTTTCTGCAGCTCTCATATCATTAACGAACACAACCTTGACTCTATTGACTGTACTGTCATATCTTTGAGTTATATTATATGTTCTTCCTATCTTATATCTCTTTGTATTGAAGTCCTTCGGTTTCTGAACGATGTAAAGTAAGCCTTCACTGCAACGTTCCGTATCGAATGAACCATAAGTTATGAAGTTATATCCAACAACTGGGTCTAACCATAACAAAACTATTGGTATAAGACTTTTGTCAATGAGATATGCTGTAGTTCCATAGAATCTTACCGATATCATAAGCTCAGGATTTCTTGTCAAAATTTTCTGAGTTGAAGCATTTCTAACCCAGTCGTTTGTTTTCTTTCCAGATGGAGATATAATGTCTGACAAAGAATATTTGTTGTATTTCTTTGAGTATCTTACGTTTAAATCACCTATTCTAACCACTTTGGTGTCATTGTCTATCTTTCTAACTGTTTCAAACTCAATGTTTGTCATTTCTGTTCTTACATACAAAATAAAAAAATAAATAAAAATAAAACTAACTTTATTTTTCTAACTAATGAAATTCATTATTTTTGTTGCTGAATTCAATAAAAATATATTTTAGGTGAAGAGGTGAGATTTCACCTGTTTTCTCACCTAATTTTTCACCCCAGTTATTTTATAAGCGTTTTACATGGTAAACGTTATTTTTTAAATTTTGTGAAAACTCAACGGTTTGACACATGCCCTAAAAATTATTTTACTCAGAATTTTGTTGCTGAATTCAATAAAAATATATTTTAGGTGAAGAGGTGAGATTTCACCTGTTTTCTCACCTAATTTTTCACCCCAGTTATTTTATAAGCGTTTTACATGAATTGTACGATGTATATTTGAAATTCTAAACAATTTCGTAGCTTCTATTTCTTCTGTCAGTATGTCAAAAGTTTTAACAATGCCGAAAGTTTCTTTATACTTCTTCTTGACGTCAGATAGAAGGAAATCGTCAGCTGTTGGATAGTTTTTGTTCAGAAATGCTAACATGTCCATTTTATCTTCTGCTGGTTTCTCTACTTCTTTCTTTAAGTCAGCATAGTCGTTTCTCATACGTTCTATCTCTTTGACGGAGTAGTTATATTTCCTCATTGCTGCTTTACATTTTGAACATTGCGGATTCATTTTTGCGTTATACATTGAAATTTGACCTGTTAGAACAAGAAACAAACTAAGGCGTCAATGGTTTTCTTTAACTCAAAAGTTGTTGGTTTTATTTGTCCATTCCATATTTTACATCTTTTATCTTTATCTCTTATCTGCCATACACATTCAGCAACTAATGAAACAAAGTTGTCGTATGTCTTACACTCCCCAGATTATAATGTCAGAGATTGTTCTTATATACCATTGTCGCAATCTTTGCCATAACTTTATGGTTGCAATGAAAACCAAGGAATTCATAGTTTACTTTACGTATGAACTTCTTTATTTCTACTGAATCAGTTGGTTTCACTTCTATTTCATCGAATTCCATGAATAGTGAGCTTTTTTGTTGGATTTCAGCAATTTTGTAAATAGGTCATAATGTCCTGCATGTCATAAAGATACTGTTCATTTGTTTCATCTTTCCGCACTACAGTCTAAATTACTTTAAAAATCTTGCTTAATTCTTTGTATTTCTGTCTCAAAAGTATATGAGAAGGAAGAAGCTTTTCATCTCTACTAACATAGATGTAGGATTCGATGACTAGCGAGTTTGGTGCTGTATGTGTTTGAATTGTTGTAGAACCTATTGTTTTGAAATCATATCTTTACATACAAGATAAAAAAATAAATAAAAATAAACTAACTTTATTTTTTCTATCTTAATGCGAAATTCATGAGAAAATTCACGAGAAAGCAAAAGCAATCTGAGCCGCTAAGCGGTGAGGGTGAAAAATTTAGTGAGAAAAACAGTTGAAACTCACCTCTTCACTAAAATATATTTTTGGTCTGATTTACATCCAACGAAAAAGTTTAGAAGATTTTCTTATTCTTTCTGGCATGTTTTTATCTTTCCAGTACTCCCGCTCTTAATAGGTGTCCCAGATGAGTTGGATTTTAGATTCTCTCAAGTTTCTTAGATGATATAACATCTCAACGCCTCCTTCATATCTTACTTTATAAGTGTCATCGTGTTTGTGTTATAGCCAAGTATTTCAATAACCACTCCTCGCTTTGCTTCGTCAATGGTTTTCAGCAAGTTTGCCATTACTACTTTCGTACTAATTTATGACGAGGTAAAAGCTATGGAGTCGTCAGCAGCTTTTATAAGATATCCATTTACCTTGCGTAGAGTTCTACGATATATATAATTTTCCGATCTTAACCTTAAACGTTCTTTGTCAACGGTTGTGTCAAAACCTACACGAACTTTTGCTACCAGGAAGTGAGGTAAGATTGTGTTGAATTCCTGATATTTTTGTCGTTTGGCTTTCGTTTCTTTTGTATATCTGTTCTTCTTGTTGTTGCTGTCATGATTTGTGTATGTCTGTTGTAGTAATTTGTTGAGGAATTATTATGATCTTCGAGAAAATGTTTCATTGTTTCTTCGCGTAAGTCTCGCTCTTGGTTTAAACTTCTGAGCGTCCTTACTGAAGGCGGTTTATGATGCGAGTATGTTATGCGGTTATGGTCTCCAGTAGTGATGTGATATGTAGCTTAATGAGAAATCTGTGATTTCATTGCTTGCCAGGGTTATGCTGAATCCTGGTCTGATGTTAAAAGTACTTGGGCTATGTTCTGCCTACAAACTTTGTAAACTTCTAACACTTCGACGGAGTTCCTGTTTATTCCTCATTGGGATATTGCATATGCCTTACAGTGTTAACCATTAATGAAGATGAGGAGATGGTTTTATGTCCTCCTTTTCTGCTTTGGAAAGAGAGTGTCAAATTGGTATGCCGTCTAGGAGTGTTGGAGTAAATGCGTAAAAAGTAGTCGTAAGGGTTTATTATTGTTGTTTGAGTACAACATTTTTTGTCAAAGAACCTTTCATTTCAGCTCTTGTTAGTAATGCCCAACTTTTGCTGCTTCATGGAATTTCTTCCAAGACCTCCATGGATGTGTGTCGGAATACTGTCTTTCAAGCTCATTTTATGTAAAGTTAAAATTATTGCTAGTGCTCAAGCGAGTTCCATTGACCACCGGTGCCATGCGAATATAGTCACAATGTGGGCCATGTAATCTTTACACCGAATCCTGTTGGATTTGTTGTGAAAGTGTCTGTGAATGATTCCTGCGGTCCACTAGAAACATACTGCGCTGAATCTAACTGGGTCACTTGAAATATCAGTACTATGCCATTCCCGGTCTATCCGAACCTGCGCAAGATTTGTATAACCCTTTTGTTATGATGTAATGAATACCTGTTGTTTGTAGCTCCTGTATGAGTGTGCGGTGGAAGTTGCTTCTTTAATTTTCTATCGAACCACCTGTTGCTTGAAAGTTCGCACTAATAAGAGGAATTTATTCACATATCATGTTCCCACGTATCCAAACCTAAAACACTTGCGGATTTGTTGAGTTCATTGAACGTATAAATAGAGCCTAATAGGATATATGGTTTCAAGAATCTGGGCTTCATTGTTAGAATAGTCATGTTTAACGTTTATAGTTTTATGCTTCTACACATATTTATATTTGTTTGTGTATTAAACCATTAGGAAAGTAGGAGGATAAATTCTTTGTTCTTGTACAGTTGCAACCTCTCGTTCCATGTTTTTGTTACTATTTCGATGCATGCCCTAATTTTTTAATCTTGATTGTTTGAAATATCTTCATCCTGCACGTGCTCTTTAATCAGGCTTTTCCATTAAGCAGCCACATTTACTTCCGACCTTCTTGCATAATTTCATCTACTATAGATTTTGTCGGCTTTCTTAGTTCGTACATATGCTGGTAAGTTCATGTGCATTCAAAGTTTCTGGCATGACCTTCAATTTCCATGCAACGTGTCTATCTAAATTGTTTAGTGTATCTTTACGTTGCTACGTTGGATAGTTAGTATCCTAAGTCGTGTTACATGTCGGCACTGCGCGCCTCCTACACCACTTAGCGTTTTGAACACCATTTACGAAACCGTGGTAACGGATATATTTACAACACAACACAAACACCGAACTTAACCTTAAATATTTTACAAAACTAATCTGCCACACATAAACGACTTCACTAACAACTCCGACTAACGACTTCAACCCTACCGTCCTCACTAAATAAAAAATAACCTTATTTTATTTTTTTAAATTGTTTTTATTTCATTGTTAAAGACATGTCGACGACATTTATATGACTCTTCCCAGAACGTTTCGTGAACTATCAAACTTCCAGTAAAACTGAGAAACATGCATTTAACAAAGACGACCATTGACGATGAAAAACACCTGAATATATTTACAATCCCTT